TGTTACCCCCGTGAAAAATTTTGGGGGCGGGGTTTTTTTTTGAGTTTTTTTAATTCCCATTTTTTTTTTTTTTTTTTTTTTTTTTTTTTTTTTTAAAGATGACCGGTAAGGGGATCTTAACCCTTGACTTGGTGTTGTCAGCACCACGCTCAGCCAGTGAGCGAACCGGCCATCCCTATATGGGATCTGAACCTGGGGCCTTGGTGTTATCAGCACCACACTCTCCCGAGTGAGCCACGGGCCGGCCCTAATTACCAATTCAATTATACTTGTTTTCTGTTTCTTCTTGAGCCAGTTTTGGTATTTTGTGTCTTTGTAGGAATTTTTCCATTTGATCTAGATTATCTAATTCATTAGCATATATTTGTTCATTGTGTTCCTTTATGATCCTTTTTCATTTCCATAAGGTTGTGATAGTCCCTGCTTTTCTTCCTTGATTTTGGTAATTTGAGTATTCTTTGTTGTTTTTCCCCCCTTGGTCAGTGTAGTTTTATCAGTGTTGTTGATCTTTTCAAAGACCCATCTTCTAGTTTTGTTGATTTTTTTTTTTTTAATTCTCTATTTCATTTATTTTCATTCCAGTCTTTATTATTTCCTTTTTTCTGCCAGTGTTGGGTTTAGTTTGTTCTTTTTTTTTTTTTTTCCTAGTGTCTTCAGGTTAGTTTATTGATTTGAAATCTTTTTAAATATAGGGTTTCTAGCTATAAATCTTCTTCTGTGTACTACTTTAGTTACATCCCATAAAAGTATTTTCTAGTTTTTCTTGTGATTTCTTCTTTGAACCATTGGTTATTTGAGGAGTGTGTTGCTTAATTTTCACACATTTGTGTAGTTCCCAAATTTTCTTTATTGATTTCTAATTTAATTCCATTGTGGTTGGAAAACATAGATTGTATGATTTTAGTTCTTTTAAATTTATCGAGGCTTGTTTTAAGATAACATATGATCTGTCCTGGAGAATGCTGCATGTGCATTTGAGGAGAATTTATGTATATTGTTATTGGGTGGAGTGTTCTAGATGTCTGTTAGGTCCAGTTGGTTTATGTTGTCTGTTCTATTTTCTTGTTGATCTTCTGCCTAGTTATTCTATCTGTTTTTGAGAGTGGGATACTGAAATCTCCCAACATTACTGTCAAATCATTTATTTGTCACTTCAATTATGTCAGTTTTTGCTATATGAATTTTGGGGCTGTTGTCAGGAATGTATGTGTTTATAATTATGTCATCTTGATGGATGGATCCTTTTCTCATTATAAAATATCTTTCTTTATTTCCAGTAACAATTTTTGCCTTAGTCTCTTTTGATTATTATTTGCATGATATATCTTTCCATCCTTATGCTTTCAACCTATATGTATCTTTTTTTTTTTTCCTTTTTGTCTTTTTTCGTGACTGGCAACGGATCGCAACCCTCAGTGTCGCACCCATACCGGACTGGGACCGGCAACGGGATCGCAACCCTCGGTGTTGCGCCCGCACCTCGCTCAGCCAGTGAGCGGCCGGTCTGTATGTGGGATCCGAACCCTTGGCGGGAGCGCCGCCGTGCTCCCAAGCGGCACACTGTAGCAGTGCGCCACCGGGCCAGCCAACCTATATATATCTTTGAATGTAAAATGTCTCATATATAACATATAGTTGGATATTTTTTTATCCATTCTTTGCCTTTTGATTGGAGCGTTTAGTCAATTTACATTTAATGTAATTACTGATGAGGTAGAACTTATGTATGCCATTTTACTATTTGTTTTCTATGTCTTCTGTCTTTTTTGTTCTTTAATCACTTCACGACTGCCTTTTGTGTTAAATAGATACTTTCTATTGTGCCATTGTAATTCTCTTATTTCTTTTACTGTATATTTTTTTTTTTTTTTTTTTTTTTTTTTTTTTTTTTTTTTCC